GGACCAAGAGGAAATTCTCTTGCCAGGTATAACTTTGTTTTAATTTTTCAGATTGGAAAACAGCTTAACAAGCATTTCTTATGCATCATGCAAGAAGTGTTTGTGTCTTTCTCCAAAGTTCAGACTGTGAGGTAGATTTGCAAGTAATGTAAGACATTGTCCATCTGGTGATATGTATAAATAGGTACTGAGTTTGGGCAGTGGGTCCATCACTTTTGTAAGCTAGAGCTTTGTCTTTGAATCTCTGCATGCCCTTTGGCTTGCTATGCTTCCTTTCCTTTAAATTGCAATACATTGACCTCTCCTCCAGTCCTTCACACACCAAGCTTACTATAGAGTCCAATGCCTGTTTGTACTATGTTATATGATTTTCCAGCTTTTATGCCATTTCTGTATCTTTTGCTGCTGGTGGGGATCTTGTGGCTCTGTCTAAGCCTCACTAGTTCTGAATTTAGTCTGGGAACATGGACCTTCAACCTCGATGATAAAAATTATCCATATAATGAGATATGGACCTTTCAAAAACGTTCAAGATAAGGCTTCATTGAGACTTAATGCATGCATGTATACTTCCTACAGGGACTGCCGCTCATCATCTTATGACATTACCTGGGTAATGACTGTATAACTAGTTTTCTTTTTAGAGTATAAATTTATTTAGTAAAGAGGTGTTTCACCATCAGATTAATTGAAATTGTTCAGACAGGAGCCTATGCTGTAATATTAAGCTTTATATGTTCTACCTGCCTCCATCTGTCTCTTTCTTAATAGGCAATTGAATGCTTTCTATAACCTACAAGCATAGTAAAGAATTTGTCTTTCTTTTATTTAAAACTCAGATAATAGCTTGTTCTAATTTTGTTACAAGATATACATTTGCAATTACTGATAAAGCATAATGTACAGCAAAGAGGACATGCCAAGATCTTTTTCCTGATTTTAAAAATCTGAGATGTAGACATTAGGGCTGTGTGAAGCTTCGGTTGCTGATTTCAATTCGGTGGAGATTCAGTACTTCAGTAATGTACTTCAGTAGTAGTACTTCCAATCTGAAGTGTACTACTTATAGTATGCTTCTGGGTTCACCGCGAAGCATGTGAAGGGCCCCCCACATCACTCCTGTGGGATTCTCTATCTGCCCCAGCATTGCAGTGTTCCACAAGCCATGCTGGTACCTCAAGGTATGTTGAAAAAACATTTAAAGTTGTATCTATGGCCGAATCGCTGATTCTCCAAATCAGCATCGAATCTTCAGATTTGGCTTTGGCCAAATCAAATCAGGGACAGTGATCCGAATCAATTAATTGAATCACTGTCCCTGATTCAGGCCAAATCCAAATCCAAATCGAATAGGGCCCGCTTCATACATCGCTAGTAGACATCCAGGAACATGTCTACTTTATTTTTCTGAATAACAGACTGAATACGGATTTTTTTTACTCAGTAGGGACATCCAGCTGAATATTTAAAAAAATATTCTCCAATATTTGTCTAAATTGATCTTTTAAATCAATGGAATACAGCCCTTTATTAGTTTCTTATCAACATTTGTGCTAGTTAAGCTTCATTCACAAGAATATTTGCAAAAGGGCATTATTTATTTACACCAAATAGATTTTCATAGATTCATAGATGTTAGGGTCAGAAGGGACCTCAATAGATCATCGAGTCCGACCCCCTGCATAGGCAGGAAAGACTGCTGGGTCTAGATGACCCCAGCTAGATGCTTATCTAACCTCCTCTTGAAGACCCCCAGGGTAGGGGAGAGCACCACCTCCCTTGGGAGCCCGTTCCAGACCTTGGCCACTCTAACTGTGAAGAAGTTCTTCCTAATGTCTAGTCTAAATCTGCTCTCTGCTAGCTTGTGGCCATTATTTCTTGTAACCCCCAGGGGCGCCTTGGTATGACCATATTGCAATCTGTGAATCTGAAAAGCAGCCAGCTAAAGAGCAGAATTCAATACTGTGTAAGTTATTAGAAAAGATGCAAAAGCTTAAATGATTTAAAATTAGTCTTATTAATTGGGTTCAAATTCTTAAGGAAGACACACCTATATAAGTTTTGGTTTTTGTCTAAATGATTTTAATTTGCTTGGGAAAAGTATCCAAATAAGCTCAACTAATTAAAGTGTGAGCTAAAGTATAGGTTTACATCCATTTAACATGATCTACTTTTTAAAAACTGGGTAAGCTTTTTATATAAAGAAGATATTAGCTTATTAGTCACAACATAATAAATTGGGAAGTGATCAAAATAATATTCATGGGAGAGGTTCTGAACAACCTAGGGACGGAAAAATGTTTTGCCAGGGTCATTCTCTAAATTTTTAATCAAAGTGATAAACTCTGTATAAAGAACAGAAAAGAGGGTCTAAATTCATTGATGTCTGGATGGTAATAAACTTAATCCTAGTGATTACTATATTTACTTCAAGGGTTCTCACACTGAAGTCAGCAGTACACTCTGGCTGTGTCTACACGAGATGCTGACTATGCAGGAGCTCGTTATACACTGCAGTAGCATTGCAGGGCGCAAACTGTGATGTGATGCTACTGTACAGTAGTAATGAGATATTGTACAGTAGTAATGAGCTACTGTGCAGTCAGCATCACCAGGAAGCCATGTGGGGATGCTACTGTGCAGTAATGCTGGTTACTGCACACTCATTTAGTACTTGGGTATGCAAATACTAAATGACTGCACAGTTGTTAGATTTAAATGTTGCTAGACTAGAGTAAGACTATTATAAAATGGCCCTGACTAAATCTGCTTTTTCCAGCTCAAGTTTTAGTTGATTGTGCCAAAGCTAAAAGTAACATCTACCAGTTCTTTCTGTGGCTAAGTAGAAAATACCATAACAAGTCAACTACAATTCCATGTTTTTTGGAGGTTTTTTGTTTGTTTATTTTTCTTTCTGCTGAAGCAGCAATATCTGTACTCAAAACTTTTGCTGGATACCAGACGTATTAAGATTAAAGTCCTTGCATGAGAGTAAACTATGTTACCATTTTAGCCCTTATAGTTTAGTTACTTAATATAAAACAGATTCCCACTTTGAAAAATAGAGGTGAGGAGAATGAAACTTAGTACAATCTGTAGATATGATGTGTCTGTGAATTTCTTTTGCTCTTCTGCATTGGTTATATTTTAGTCTATATTAGTTTTGTAACACGTATTGCTCTTATTGCTAATTAAAATATAAAGAACTAAATTCTACAAATTTTGTTTCATTTTACTTATTTCAGCTAACTAAAACCACGGATCTGTGTAATTTGTAGCCAAGGCTAAACAGTAAGGCTTCACTTCACAAAAACTGGAGTGAGAAGTAAAGTGGGGTCAGGAATTGCCATACGTGTGGAATAGCTGAATTTTTGTATTTAG